TAGTCTTATGTTTCCGGGAGTATTCAATCTTCGGCTTGCCGAAGAAATATGCTTTTCCTATTTTTAGTATTTATTGTGGGACTTACATGCTTGGATTTCAGGCTTATAGTGATTCCAGCGACTAGTTGTGTGAAAATGTGGGATAGTTAGCTGTAAATAGAGTAAAATTTGCGAAGATTAATAATTGCTTTACAAATATGCAACTATATCACAGACACAACTTAATTTACATACACAGTAGTTTTAACATGCTTTTACCAGCAACATGTAAAGACTTCAGCTGTTAGTGAAAGCCGCGCTGTTAACTAACTGTTAACTCCTATCGAAGTGTAATGTAAGCAACAAAACTTTCTTCAAACATTGACCCAATCGCAAAATGCGAATCCATTTAAAATCAAAACTATGCCAAATTCCACAATCCTGAACCGCAAAACATGCGGGCACACGCACATATCTGGATTCAGGAAAGCATGCGAGGCGTGGCCAGGACAATAAAAAGTCTTTTGTGGCTGGGCTCAAGTCAAATGGTTTTCGTTAAAAGGCGCTGCCAGAAGGCGTTGAGTTGCCCTCATCATTAGGACAGCATTTCATCCAAAGCAATGCAAACATTGGCGATGACGTCACAATGTCGCAGCGTGTCATCGGCGAGACGGGAGTGTTGCGCGCAACCCCTAAACGAGGCGGCTGCCAGCCCAGCCCAGCCCAACCCCTGGCACAAGCAGGCGCCAAGGACGAAAAAAGGAGGAGAAAAAAAAAAAACTGCGCGAAAAACTGCAGCTGATTTTGCGCTAGCGGCATCGTGGGAATCTTTGAGCAGCAACCCTAGAGCTAGAGCTGGCAGCCGGCAGAGGCAACCCTTCGACTTGGCGTTGGACACAGCTGCAGCACACAGTGCCTACAATGCCAAACAGATCTCCGCGTCCATAGCTGGTCAAGAGTCAATGGCAGCTGGCGGCGGCGGCGCAGTACAGTCGAGCCGAGCCATTGCATTTGGATTGATGATGGCCTAGGATGATTGGCTGGACGTTCGCTGCATATGTCACTGGGCGCAGGCGCAGGCGCAGATACAAATGTATCTGTAGCGGGAAATCAGTCCAATTAAAAATAATAAAGGCGAAACGCAGCTTGTTAGTGGTTAGCGGCTGCCAAGATGGCAGATTGCACCCAAAACAATAGGACTCCACTTTCAGCTCTAGGCGCGTGGGAAAGCAGCTCTCCAACGTCTCCGACGTCTCCAACGTGTCCAACGTCTCTGGCAGCCGTTTGGGCCAGTTTTTGGGCCCACTGCACCTGCCGCGCCCCAAGCTCGCAACAGCCATATTTGGTTTTACATATGCCAGACTCTGCAGAATCGTGATCAAATCAATGCCCGGCCATAAAATTGTGGAATTCTAACAGCAATTTGACCGCAACACGAACACGCTATCGCCGGCCAGTTAAAGAGGCAAGGGGGGAGAGTTGGAATACGGCGCCTGACAATTCTATTTGGCACGAGCTCATTAAGCACCATTTATATGCAACATGAGCCATGACTGGACCAAAACTGCAGCCGATCTCGGACAGTCGACAGCGAAAACCTCTCCAACCTCTCGATGGCGAGTCAATGGCTTTTGCCTGGCCCGTTGACAAGTTGTTGACGCTGGCAAATGATTTACGGGCTCAAGTTGGCTCCCGGCCAGCAAAAGCCACAACAACAACGGCTTTCGGCCGCATGCCAAATTCAGCTAACAACGCACAACAAGTGCCAACACGTGGGCACTCGGCTCTCTACAAGGCGAGTGCTTGGCTTATGGATAAGCTGAAGAATTACATTTGATCAGCACTTGGCACTAGGTTTACAAAGGTGCCAGCTTTGTCACCTTTGCATTGCTTATAATTCTCAAGTGGTTATAGCTTTGAACTAAACACAATACTTGGCGAATTAAGAGTTGATAGCATAGACCCGATCGAATATATTTATACTGAATAGAATCGCAGATGTCTTTTTCAAAGCGTAACACATTTAGTGGCAAAATTATAAAACCCCAGTTAATGCCAATTTAATTGAGGATTAAAGTATTCCCACGTACCCGATTAGCATAGAGCGTGAATCGTTGATCGGCTGCCAAGACTGTCAACATTGTCTCTGGTGACGGGGTTTAATCGACTGCATCAGAAGTGTGCCAGAGTTGGAGTTGAGGTTTGGGCTCAAGGATTTTGACAGCTAAGCTGACATGGCAAAAATGCATAACTGAACGGCGGGCGAGGGACGGATCGACACAATATGACGGACTGCTACACGATACATGACTTGTCTATGGGCAACCAGGTGAATATATGGCAAAGCTCAAATGCAATGAAACAATCAATCAAAGCGCTGAAAAGAGGCTTGTCCCGCAGCAGCAGCAGCAGCAGCAGCTCTGGACTGGAGCGGCTTAGGACGGGGCGGAACAGGAGAGCGTAACGGTAACTCAAATGGCACAAAATCAAATTACCAGCAATGATTAATCAATCAACACGCTGGCCGCCAGCAGCAGCAGCAGCGCCAGCAGCAGCAGCAGCGCCAGTTGGCCGCCACAGTAATACCTCCGCTCATTGCGATAGCCGGCACGATCGGGGGCCGCTGGCCTCGTCGCGATCTGGTTGCGGTTGTGGGTGTGTATGTGTGTGTGTGTGTGAGTGTGTGAGTGTGAGCCAGCCAGTCAGCCAGCCAAGTGGGTGCGTTCTCACAGCTGGATGCCAATGCTGACAATCACGATCATACACACACACACACGCACACACACACACACACCTGCATTTGTGTAGCCACCACGTGTGCGTTCCAGACAATTTCAAATCAATGCTCTGCAAGCTGCAGCAGGAGCTGCCGCGCTTGGCTGTGGCCTCTTCCCTAAATGGCCCGGCCTGGCCAGCTCGATCTGTGGTTTGATCGTGCCAAAAATGGGTTTGCAACTGGAATTCGCTTTTAGTCAAGCAACAAGCCCAAACGCGGCACCAACTGCGATTGCGACTGCGACTGCGTCTGCAGCTCCCAGCTTGCAGCTCGCAGCTCGCAGCTCGCAGCTCGATCTGCAGCCAATTTTGTGGCGCAGGTGGCGATTGGCAATTGGCAATTGCTGCCGCCGCCAGCTGCACACGCGCTTGGTGTGAACAACTAGAAAGTTTTTCTTAATGCCACAAAACTTAAGAGCTCGCTCGTGAGAATCAGTCCGATGGCCGACTGCCGTAAAATTTATGGTTTGACTGGCCAAAATGAATGCGCACGGCTCGATTCGATTTATGGCTGACTAATGAAAATTTGACAAATAGCAAATGGGCTGGCAATTTAATTCTAGCCAGGCCAATAACATACATCATTGCGGCCAAACATTTCCGGGCATGGCTATTGATTGACAAGTCGCGGATCACAGTCCACGAGTCAGGCCCCAGAGTCGCAGACCAAATGGCAACGGCAGCCAAAACACGTCAGGTTCCAGATTGCAGTTGCCAGCCCGCTGCCGATTTATGGGCGCCCGGCCACAAGCTCCGATACGGATGCCGCCAAGTCGTGACCCGCGTGCATTGAACCTTTTTTTTTCTTTTTTTTTCTGTCCGATCTTGTCGGTGCCCGAGCTGCGGCAACGTCACATATTGAAACGAAATGTGCCAGCACGAAATGCAATTTCCAAACAAGCAGCAGCAAACTTATTGTGGGAGCCGCTTGAACATAATGAAGCCGTTGGTCATTGCCCAAAGGTTCAGGCTGAGTCAATCATAATTTGTGTGCTTTTAAAATGTGCTGCACTCGTTTTCCCACATTTTATGCCCCGCTGCATTGCTGCATCGCTGCCTTGCCCCCTATTCACGTCTGTCTGGGAAAATCACTGGCGTAACTGGAGGCTCGCTTGTTGCGCAACAATTACTCGCTTTTGGTTTGCCTCTGAAACCTTCAACCGCCGCAGTTAGCAGTTGTCAGTTGATCGCTTGCAACCCCCACGCATCCATTGGCAACAGCTTCGCCCATCGACGCTGCGCGCTCCGCTGCACTCCCTACCTGTCAAGCTGCAAGGTGCAAGTGCGTACCGAGCGAAGGGTTCGCTTGACTTTGAAATTGTTTCACGCTTGTTTTCGGTTGCCCGAAACGGAACTGCGCTAGATTGGCCAAAAATGGGTACTCTTCTTTTGACCAATTTTCACACATTGTATGCGCAGCTGCTTAATAAATATTCAAGCAATATGTTAATTTTGTATGCTATCGAGCGGAAATTAAATTCAACAGTTCATGTTTTGTACGCTCCATTGGACTGGTCTAACAATCTCTTCGTTTGACAATATAAAATAAACCAAGTATTTGGATTTCATTTGATTGAATGAAGGACAAACAATATGTAAATCATTTAAATATTGAATTATTTAAAAGCCGGCTCTATTGAAGCTTGTATATTTGCCGCCAGATGCCGCCACTGTTGCAGCCAACTTCAGTTCATTTGAAAACTATGCAGACTTACGTGAAGTTGGCTGCATTTAAATTTTGAACTTAACGAATTCGCCAGCTTAACGAAATTGACTAAAATAGAAATTTTAACCTTTTCATTGCATACTTCGTGGCGCTTAAGGTAAAGTTGATAAGACATTTTTAGTTATTGAATCGGCCATTTAAATTGTATATAAAATATAAACCTATTAATATATATATATATATATATATATAAATCTCAACGAAGATAACGATAGCGATATTATAAATCGATTTAACGTTTCTAATACACAAAATTGTATCGCAGACTTCTTAACAGGTGTTGTGTATTCCTTAAACAGAAAGTGTATCTTAAATTGTGAAAGTTTTTATTTTTCATGAATTAAAAATTCAATGGATTGCATTTTGAACACATATCGAAAAGGTTGCATCTCATTGAATATCAATAATAGCGATTTCGATAGCATGGCGTGTGGATAAACGAAATATATCTGTACGGCAACGCCAGCAACATGCAATCGATATATCTATCGTTCGAAAGAGGTGGCAACGCAAGCAAACAATCGAAAAAGTATTGACTGTGTAAGACAACATTAAAGCAAATACAGATTCTCATAGAAATTTTCATTTGTCAATTAATTTGCTGCAATTGTTATTGAATCAATGTCAGAATCAATGACTGACATAATACCGGCGGAGCCCCGCGAAGAAATGTGTGCACTGCAAACGGTTATATCGAAATTGGAAGACCATTTAAAAAGTACCAATGTGAAACTTTTCAATTTTCGGAAGCTCATCAGAACCGAATCGAACATTAAATCACGCAATATTTACTTGAGTAAAGTATATTCCATGGTTAAAGAGCAACACACAATACAAAGAATACTGGAAAGTTACCAAACAAAGCTAAAAGATTTGGAAGCCCGAAATAAACAGGTAGAACCGGGCACTCCATAGATAGTACGTACTTCTCCAATATACAAATCGATCATTCACAGAAATCGGATGGAACGAATAATCACCAGCATACTAAAAATGCTAAGCTCTTCGAACTATTTCATAATTATGAGCCATTAGTAAGTACAAAGTTACTTAAACCCAAATAATTGCTACAATTATAATATATAATATTGTGTGTATTTTAAAGGAAACAAGATTTGAGAATAAGTCTGCTAAGACCGATGAGCCTTCGGTAAGTATAGACAACTTAAATACGAAGAACTTGTAAAACTAAGAAACTTTCTTACGTTTGTACAGGCTCATGCGAAAAAGCGCAAGTCTGAGGACGAAGAGAAAATTGAAGATCTTGAAGATGCCAGACCCAAGCCAATTGTCATCAATAACCATGGCGAGACTATGAAATTCCTAAAAGCTCATGTTAAGAAGCGCATTATAGAAGCAAAACAAAAACCAAAATTAGAGTTTACAATTCCTGTAATTAATATAGTGGAGGATTCAGCGCCTGAAGCAGTGGAGGATACAGTTGATAAAGCTCAAATGGCAGAGGAAACGAAGGATATAGATGCTGAAGCTCAGATGGAGGAGGAAACAAAGCATGTAATTGTTGAAGCTCAGATGGAGGAGGAAATGAAACAAGTTAATGATGAAGTTCAGATGGAGGAGGAACCGAAACATGTTAGTGCTGAAGTTGAAATGGCGAAGGAAACAAAGGATATAGATGCTGAAGCTCAAACGGTGGAGGAACCAAAGCATATAGATGCTGAAGCTCAAATGGTAGAGGAACCAACGCATTCTAATATAACAACAGATCGATTAGGAGCGGAACATCAACAAGCAACAAATAAAGAAGATGACATTACAAACCCCATCTCCATCGACAATCTTGCCGAGGCCATGCAATGTTTGAAGGCCCTGCAAGAATATGCCATGTTGAATGAGAATTTTCGTGCTATTGGACTTTTAACGGAAACCGAAAAGGCATTCAAAAGTCCGCCTAAGGTTTCTGATTTTGAGCTTTAGCAATCGTGATACGTACATATATATGCATGTAAATATAAGTGTAATTAAGTCCAAGCAATAAAACGGGTCACAATTAGTTCGTGGTGTGTTCACAAATATAAAAATGAACTAAAACTTGTTAAATGTAATATTTAATTTTATATTTACATCATATTTACCCCTGACGCTCATTTGTTGTCACAATCAGCAGTGTTACCAGCTGTTCGCCACATACCAATTGTGTGTGTGTGCGTCAGCTGAGATTTGTCAAGTCAAAGTGGTGATTTTGGTATTTTTTAGTGCATTTATGTTATTCAATGAAATGGTCACCCGCGCAACATTACTATAAACAAATCCTGAAAATTCGGCATTTCTGCAAATATGTGAGTATCCATCGGTCTGCGCAGCGAATTCACAGTTAATTATTGAATTTTTATGCAAAAAGGAAGTCAATTGCGCATTTATTGCAGCAGTAAACGTGAACTGAATACATTTGCATGCTGTCATTAGGTGCAGCGACAAATTAAATGGACAAGCTAACATCAGACGAAGCTGCAAAGCAGCCGGCGCTACGCAAACGTCTCGGCCGACCGCCCAAGGTCAATGCACAAGAGTCTGAGGCAGCTGAGGAAATGGAATCACTAGCTGAGGAGCGCACTTCGTCGACATCGCCAACAAATTGCCGGCGCAGTACGCGCAAGAAAATCATTAAATTTGATGTGCTCGATGTGCTGAACAAAAGCCGCAAGACGCACAAAATACAAATTGAGGCACGCATCGATTCTAATGCACCGACACCAACATCCCAACTGGCAGCTAGTGCGTCCACAGTGACAGCGCCAATAATCGAAGTTAATCGTTTGATTACGCCGCGTCCGCCACCGCTGCTGCCTGCGGTGCCCCCATTGCCGACGCTGGACATGTTTACCAAGCCGAAGCCAATGCCAAGCTTGATTGTTGCTCAGGTGAGCAGCGATAGAACAAGTTCTGCCCTGCCGCTGCCGCAGCAGCAACAGCAACAGCCCATGCGCAAACGTGGACGGCCACGCAAAGCACAGTTTCCAGACAATCCAACTGGAGTCGGTTGCTCGAAACTGGATGCCAGCTTGCACAATTCAGTGCCAAACTTGCCTGGCAGCTTGGAGCAAGCAGAAGCCGCCTCTGACTCTGATGAGTCCTTGAAGGGTTTTCCGCCCCCGTTGGCTGTGGAGGATGCATCGAATGCTGCACAAATACCACAGGATGACACAGTGTTAGATACAACAATTGATGTAGTTGAGACTGAGATCATAACTGTGCCGTGTGATGAAGATTCGGATTCACAAATTATATTTGTGGATATTGAGACGACAAAAGCTGAATCGGATATAGCGGAAGAAGCAGAATTTGAGAACCCAACCAACACAGCCGAGGACAAGCGCATTTTCAAGCTTATCTTTCCCAAACAAGAGCAACTGCAGCAGGAACAAGCAGATGTGAAGCCTGTGGCCCAGCAGCTATGCGTTGTTGAGCAGCTTTGTGAACCGCCAGCCGAGCCCAGTGTGGATGAAAAACTGCATGAGCTGAGGAAGAAAACGGAATCGGAACTTTTGGCCGAAGTGCTCAGCGAGCCAGCAGAGCTCTGGTTTACCGAAGACGAGGACAAGGATGAAGAACAGCAACAGCAGGAGGAACAGCCACAAATAGAGATGCAGCAGGAGGAGCAGCCACAGCAGCTAAATAACAAGCCGAAGCTCGAAACTGAACTAGCAAGCGAGTCGCACAGTCCAGAATCTATTGGAGATCTGAATCTGCGGAAGTGCAGCAACACAGAGCCGAAGCTAAGCAGTGAAGCAACCATCAAGCTGCACCCTCCATGCACTATTGAAGATTTGCAGCCAAAGGAGAAGCAGCAGCAATGCGGCAGTCCACAGCAGGTTAAGGATGAGATTCAGCTGGCAGTAGAGCTAAAGAAGGAATTGTCATTACCAAATACATCAGCTGCACAGCCCAAAAGCGATGAGACAAAAACTTTAACTGCATCAGAGTCAATGACGGACTCAATCACTGATGCTGCTGTGAAGCCAGAAGACAAGACCGAGATCATGGAGCCCACTCCGCAGCCGGCGTACAAAGCCGTCGCACATTTCGAATTAGAATCTCTGAGGCGCGCGGCCAAAGCTACGGGCATAGAATTGAAGCTGCCCGTGACTATGGAGAAACTACTAAATGCCAACCCAATATCAGAGCCTTTAAAGGCTGAACTTAAGAAGCAGCCAGATTTAGGCATGACTGAAACGCCGCTAGCTGTGTCCTGGCAACTGGCCAAGCCCAAGGATGTGCCGGCGCAGATTGACTTGCCTGTAACGCAGCGACAGCCGTTGGTAGACAAACCCGCTGAGATTAAAGCTGCACCACAGCTTACGTCAGGTCCTTCAGAGCCTGAGAAAGCAACTGCTCCACAGCTTTTGCCGAGTCCTTCAGAAGCAGCCACAGCCGCAGCGCTACCAATACCCAAGACAGTCAAAACTGCTGCTGAGGAGCCAAAGCTGGATTTGGCCACAACAAAATCAACTGCTAGTGAGAAGAAAAAAACAAGTGACAGTCCCAAGCCGGAGAGGCCATCTTCCTCCAACTCGTCCTCGACAATAACAACTTTTGTAGAGTGCGACGCGCTGTTCAAGGTCTTGGACAAGGCTCATGCCCAGATCCGGCACGAAGAGAAGGCCAAAAAGAAGTTTAAGCAGGCAAGCAAGAAGCAATCGTCGGAACAGACGCAGGAACGCAACACTCCGCTGGCCCGTGCCAAAAAGCAGGCGCCAAAGGAGAGCACACGTCGCAATACCATCTCCGAAGAACGCCACGAGGAAGACAAGCTGCCGTTGACCAATAAGCGTCGCAACTCCGTGCATCCTTTTAAGGCAACACTGAGTCCAGAGCGCGCGTCCGAGGCAGAGTCTAAGCCTAGCAATAGCGGAAGCAACAAGAAGTCAGCCCAAAGGAAGCCGTCGCGCAAAGCAGCAACAGCAAAACAGTTGCCCATCAGCCAGGACTCGCTGGACTCCAGCTCGAGCTCGTCAACAAAAGCCAGCGAACTGCCTGGCCGCAGCTTGCCAACGCCCACTTCTGAGCTAGAGGCATCCAATCCGCTGCACGACATAGCCAAGTTCATAGAGGATGGCGTCAAGCTGCTCGAGCGCGACTACAAGCTGGAGGATGAACAACAGCAGCAGCAAGAACAGCAGCAGCAGACACAACCACAGTTACAGGAGGAGATAACTGAAGATGAGTTTGCCCAGCGTGTGGCCAATCTGGAGACGCCAGCCAACACGCCGGCTCCCTCACCCGTGGGCAGCACTGAGGATCTGTCCTCGGGCGTGCGCCGTTCGCATCGCATCAAACAGAAACCCCAAGGCGCCAAGGCTAGTTTGGGGCGTGGCAGCAGCAGTCAAACGCCGACCATTAGCATGGAACAACAGCTAGCCGAGCTGGCACAGATTGAGACTATCAACGAGCAGTTCCTACGCAACGAAGGACTCCATACATTCCAAACGCTGCGCGACAACTATTATCGTTGTGCGCGGCAGGTGAGCAAGGAGAACGCAGAAATGCAGTGCGATTGCTTTGTCACCGGCGACGAGGAGGGACTGGGCCAGCTGCGCTGCGGCGATGGCTGCATCAACCGCATGCTCATGATCGAATGTGGCCCACTGTGCACCTACGGCGAGCGATGCACAAACAAACGCTTCCAGCAGCATCAGGGCTGGCCCTGTCGCGTCTTTCGCACCGAGAAGAAGGGCTGCGGTATTACTGCCGAGCTGCAAATACCGCCCGGCGAGTTCATCATGGAGTACGTGGGCGAGGTCATAGACAGCGAGGAATTTGAGCGCCGCCAGCATCTGTACTCGGAGGATCGCAATCGGCACTATTATTTTATGGCGCTGCGCGGCGAGGCGATCATTGACGCGACCACCAAGGGCAACATCTCGCGGTACATCAATCACAGCTGTGATCCGAACGCAGAGACGCAAAAGTGGACGGTGAACGGTGAGCTGCGCATTGGCTTCTTCAGCGTGAAGACTATCCTGCCCGGCGAGGAGATCACCTTTGATTACCAATATCAGCGCTACGGACGCGATGCTCAGCGCTGCTACTGCGAGTCGGCCAATTGTCGTGGCTGGATTGGCAACGAGCCCGAGTCGGATGAGGGCGAGCAGCTCGATACGGAGAGCGAAAGTGAGCCGGAATCGTTGGTTGAGGAGCTGCGGCTGGAGCAGCAGGAGCTGAAGACCAAAACGCCCAGGAGCGGCAAGTCGAGAAAGCAGCTCAAACTGCCGACGGCGCGCAAGCAGCGCAAAGAGCAGCCAAAGGCCAAGGATCGCGAATACAAAGCGGGACGTTGGCTGCGTCCCTCGGGCGGCGCCAGCGGCGAGAAATCAGCAACACGTAAGCCCGACCAGTTGGAGGACCCAGATGTGCTTGAACAGCTAACGCTGCTCGGCCGCAGCGGGCTCAAGAACCAGCTGGACACGTTGCGTCTATCGCGTTGCATGGTGCGTGCCAAGCTGCTGCAGTCTCGCCTCCAGCTGCTGGGCGTGCTCACCCGTGGCGAACTGCCATGTCGTCGGCTCTTCCTCGACTACCATGGCCTGCGTCTGCTTCATGCCTGGATCAGCGAGAGCGGCAGCGACAAGCAGCTGCGTCTGGCACTGCTTGAGGCGTTGGAGTCGCTGCCCATACCTAATAGAACCATGCTAAATGACAGCCGCGTCTATCAGAGCGTGCAGCTATGGAGCAGCCAGTTGGCACAGCCAGCAGCTGAGATGCCAACGGAGCCGCCACCAGAATCTAATACGGAGGAGGATGAGTCAGTGCGTCAGCGCATTGCGGCGCTGCTACAAAAGTGGAATGGCCTGCCCGAAATCTTTCGCATACCCAAACGCGAACGCATCGAACAAATGAAGGAGCACGAACGCGAGGCGGATCGCCAGCAACAGGTGCATCACGCGGCCACCGCACTGGAGGACAGCAACAGCGCCTCCTCCGTGCTAAACAGCGATCGCTACCGACAGGATCGTTTCAGACGCGACACCAGCAGTCGCTACGAAAAGTCCAAGCCGCCAACTCGGATGAGTGGCAACAATACCATCTGCACA